CACTTTCAGATGCTTCAGAATACATTATGTCAATAATTTATTATAACTGATCTCCTTCTATTTGCTTCACAATTAGGTATGTTCATCACCTTGAATTATTTATAAAAATAATAAAGGCTGTGTGTGTGTGTGTGTGCATATATAGCTGGTATTTTGAGAAAATAAAAATACCTGTTTTTTAAAATACTGTCATCTGTGTATGCCGCAGTAATATCTATCAATTAAAAGAACTTTTGCCAACAGATTTTGGCAATGTAATTTCAGATGGTGTGAGACCTCAAAACCAGTGTTTCCATCCTTAGTAACTTTAAGATGTGTGGACACTAACTCTCTAAATTCCCTAGCCAGCTTAAAGTTACAGAAGTGTGAGAAACACCTCTGTACAACGGTAACATATATTAGTCAATAAACTGGTTTGTTGCATAAATAAAATGAAAGAAATTAGACAGGATATGGTTTCCTAAGCTTCTTCAAAGAAAAGGGACAGTGTTACAACGGGTATGATTGGAATCCAGGATACAGTGTTTGTGATCTAATATGCATTTACTTTCGGTTATCTTTCATAAGGCTTACAAAACACTCTATAATTTCAAATTCATTAAGCATATTATAGACTAAAATAGAGGATAGAATATGTTAAGGAGATTGAAAATAACCATATGAAGAGTAAAACATGTTGATAGTAAAAAGATGGTACAGAAGGAAAAGGAAACACTATGTGAAATGCTGAACAGGAGCATTGTATACTGTAATTTTGTGTTGTACTTTCCACTTTTCATATGCTCATTCTCAAACCTAATTTTGGTGGGGCTCATTGAGGACTACCTGAAACCCACAGTTGGTGCAAAATGCCAGTGTTGTATCATTTTATAGTGCTGTATTGATTGCCAGCAAGTTTCCATGTACAATTCAGTAGCAATAGCAATAGCACTTAGACTTACATAGTGCTCCATAGTGCTTTACAGCAGTATCTAAGTCAGGGATGTTAAACTGCCGGCCCGTGGGCTGGATGCGTCATGGCGAAACTGCGCCCACCCCATTGCCGGCAGTGGAAAAAAAGTTGCAATACGTCACTACACGTCATGTGACATTGCGAGTTTGACACCCCTGGTCTAAGTGGTTTACAGAATCAGCATTTCAACTTTGAGCCGGTCAGGATCAAACTCCTGGCAGTGGGCAGAGTCAGCCTCCAATACTGCATTTTAACAAGTGTGCCATATGACTCACAATTCAAAATGCTGCCTTTAATGCGCAGAGTCTTTATGGTTCAGTCCCTAGCTACTGATAGGGTCTCCTGCTTCAGGCAGAACCAACTTGATCAGTTCATTTAGGACCAGAAGACCATCTTGAGAATCCAGCCATTCAAATAAAATCAATAAAGGGGCTAGAACATGGTTGGGTTTTTTCATGCCTTGCCCCTATGCTTAACACTGGTCTCCAGAGATCTGGATGGTATTGTCCCTTATAGTTTTCCACTTGCAGTCATGACAGAGCACAGTTGATTGCTGAAAATGTAGAGTTGCTTTTAGGGGGCTGTTGTGATTTTATGTATTTTGTTTGATTATAAACTGCCAGGAATCTGCATGAAGTTGTTAAAATAATTATAGTCAATAGGTAAGTAAATAAATAAGAACATTTTGGTTGTTAAGTGATCTGGATGAAAAATATTTCTGAATTCAAAGTGTTTCTAGATTCTACAAAGGGTAAAATTACTTCCACTTTATGCCCTACAGCAGCAGCCCCCAACCTTTTGGGCATCAGGGACCAGTTCCATGGAGAAAGGTTTTTCCGCAGACCATAGGGGGCATGGTTTTGTGTGCTGCCTGCATCCCACAGATGGGGCTTCACTTGTTTGCATGGCCTGGTTGCTGGCATGCTGCAGACCAGTGCGGCTCCAAACAGACTGGGTGGGGGTTGGAGACCCTCGCTTTGCAGGTTATTTCTTTAATTGGCCCATTGCCATTAGAGGGTGTTTTTTTTTTTTTCATAGAACCTAACTGCTCCCCTATCCCAGCAGAATATTTTACTGTACTTGTATATAAAGTGATACAATTTCAAGTGTATGTTACTTAAAAAGGAATAAAAACTGCGTTTACTCTTCAATAGTTTTAAAAACATGACTTGTACAATAGAATATTGGTCTTGACATTCTGTGTACTGTTTTCAACATACTTTTTAGGTAGTTTGCGGCCAATTTCTCCATGGCGCTGGCTTTTTTCAATTTTAATTCCGCTAATAATTGCTTCACGAGGATTTAAGAAAAAGAGTCTTGATCATGGTGGAGCAATAGGAGGTATGCCTTATCTCTTAATTTTGGTTGTCTGTATAGATTTTTGAGATGTAGGTATTTTCCTTCACCTTTCAACTTAGCATTAAGATGTATTTTTGTTTATTGTCATTATGCTTTTTTTTAAAAAGTGTTAATCTGGAGGTGCAAGCTTTCAGTTGAAATAATCATTAGTCAGACTCATGACAATTCTCTTCTTATTGTGGCAATAATCTATTCCCATCACTTTACAGGTTAAATATATATAAATTATTTATTATTTGATGTATCATTTGGCAAATTCTCTTCTGCATCCGGAATGGAAAATAAAGTAGAATTCAGAGGTGGCTTGACTCTAAATCTATGCAACTATCTTTTATATTTCATATGATGGTGTCTAATCTAGGGTTATGTTGGGCTCCATAGAATTGGATTTGTTATGAGTTACGTGTATATATGTATGTATGTGTATATATGTATGTATGTGTATATATGTAGGTATGTATGTATATATGTATGTGTGTGTGTGTATACCTGGTATCAGATGAAATTTGATTTGTGTATATGTGAGTGCGTATATGTAGGTATATGTTTGTATGTGTGTGTACATATATTCAGTCAAGTTGTCCTATACAAATATCGAAAATAGCCTGAGGAATTTTAGATCTTATGTCTGATCAACCACAATAAGACACTGGGGTCCTTTTAGAAGAAATTTGATATTTCTTCTGATATCTGATATCAGAATAGGTCAATAAACGTTATTGGCAGTAGATTACTACAGCAGCTATGCAAGCATTTTTCTTTGTATTTTTCAGCATATTAAAAATAATTTATTAATGTAGTCATACTAATACATCATTAGTATAGTTGAGAAATTTGCTTATACTAGAAATACTGTGCTAAAGAGCTGGGACTTAAAGGAGGAAAGAAGCTTCAAAAGTATCCAGAGCATCCAACCTCACATAATTTGGGTAAGGAGGATGCTTGGGCTATATTGAATAGCAGAATATAATAATTTGATGGCTTTTTACCTCTGAAAAATTTGCTATCTCTGTACCTGATAATTATTGTGCAACCTTTTTTTTATGGAATTCATAATATAATTATGATTCTTAGCAAGTTTCATTTAACTTGTTTAACAGAAACTCATCTTGATTATTCCACACTCCCTCTTCAAAATGGCCTACAGTTTTAAGTTACATGGGAGGAATGGGGAGTATGAATTATTTCATTTATTTATGGTTATTATGCGAGTTTGTGCGAATCTAGCATTTATAATAAAATTTGAAATACTGATAAAAACGGAATTTAGGAAACAAACCAGATTCTATCAGAAACACCAAATGCAGAATATAAGAAAAATTGATATGAATGTATCTTCAGATACCTGGATTATGAATGGATGATATTCTTCCAGTCATATTACCAGAATGTTCTGATAGAAGCAATAGTCTGAAGAGAGATATAAACAGAACGAAAGGTGTAGTGCTGCTTTCCTCCAAACAAGATAAGGTAGAATAATTAATGAGCATATTAATTGGAATGATGGCGTTTAGACCATTACATATGGAATGCAGAAACATGGGGAAGCTAGCTTATATTTCCATAAAATGTAAAAATACTACATAAATACTGAATTTGGAGATCTTAGTGCCTAAAACTTTCAAAAACCCCTGAAGAGCTGAAATAGAAGGTATTCTTTGCTCATAATCTTTTGTTTTGTTTTCCTATTCTAAAGAAAAAAGAATGGGAAAGAGAAATGAAGTATTGGAATAACTGTTCCTATTTATATACTGATAGCACATATTGAGGTATAGTGTGTTGGAGAAGGAATCAAGATTTAAAATAGAACAAATCTTTTGAGGAAAATAATTTAAGACAGGAATCCATATAAATCAGCTAAAGGAGAATTGAGTATGATCAGTATTATAGAAGAATGCAGTGGAATATCATAAAACAAGATATGGCTGGCTAGAAAACTGAAAGGAGTATTCCATATTGCAACTGTTTTGTGATTCTTTTTTGATATTGTTTCTACATAGTGTTTTCCTCCTGCAAGATTGCTTTAACTTGCACAATCTGCGCAAAACAATAAAATTATTGGACTATTATTTCAGTGTAGGTTGATGCCAATTTCTTTTTAAGTCAAATAATTAAATTTATAGAAGAAAGTGATTGCAAAAAGTAAATTGCAATTCTTTCTCCAACTTTCCTTCTTTCAGGTTTAATTGTTGGATTTATCCTCACTGTTGCAAATTACAGCTTTTTTACCTCCATGCTCATGTTTTTCATTACTTCTTCCAAACTTACCAAGTGGAAAGGAGAAGTAAAAAAACAAATAGATTCAGAATACAAAGAAGGTAAGCTTTTAGTTTTAAGACATTTAATGATGATGATTTTCTCTATAATTTTAGGGAAGGAATGGTGTAAGGACCCTCCTCAGCTAAACATCCAAGAAAGCAGAACTCTTGAAACAGGCATTGTTGCAAAAGGAACTTTTATTAGGGGTTAGTGACAGTAGGGAAGTCAAGGCGAGATCTGGGGAAAAGCCCGCCTAAATGGTATAGTTCAGGGATAGGCAATCTTGGCTCTTTTATAACTCGTCGACTTCAACTCCCAGAATTCCTGAGCCACCAGCATGGCTCAGCTTGGAAACCTCTCCTTTTCCCCTCAGCATGGCTGGCTCAGGAATTCTGGAAGTTGAAGTCCACGAGTCATAAAAGAGCCAAGGTTGCCTACCCCTGGTATAGTTAAACTAGCAATCTTCCTCCTCCCACCAAAGTCATAGTGTCCATTTGAAATCCAGCCAATCCACAGGTGGTACGATTTTTGGGTAACTGGCACAGTTGGCGCACATCTCAAGATCTTCTCCAGTTTCGTTTCTCCATAGCTGCCTCCCTGATAAGGGAGACACAGTCTTTTCTCAAGTGGATAGGGGTGGAAGAGGAAAAGCAGAAAGCAAAAGTTATCCCAAGTGAAAGTAAACTTCTCTCCCTCCCTCCCAGCAGAATGGCAGGCCTCAAACAAGAGCACATATGCAAGAAAACAATAAGGATTTGGGGACCTTTGTAATTCTTAGATTGGATCGGGATAGGAAGAAGCTGGCCTTCCCCACTTCACTTTTGTCCTTTCCTTATCAGTCATCAAGATCCTGGAAATATTTCCTTGGGAAACAGGATTCTATTGAGAGAAAGGAATGGATATTTTTAGAATAAGCAAGCATTGTTAGAGGCCAATTTTTGTGATCTTTGGAAAGTTGCAAATGGAATGGGTAAAAAATATATATTTAATCACCAATATCTAGTGGATTGGATCTGTAGGCTAAATAAATATTTTTTGACATCTTTCTAATGAATCACCTGAGTTAAGTATGTAAGCAACATAATTTTGTATTAATTTTTGCTTTGAGTCAAAATTGAAAATTTAATGATTTGAGATAAGCATAGTATTACTCATTTTTTCTCTAAGTACATACTCTCCAGGCTGTTAAATGTTTGTTTTTTCTTAACAGCTTATAGCTTCTCTGTTTGTATGCAGGTGGACAAAGAAATTGGGTGCAGGTATTTTGCAATGGTGGTGTACCTGCAGAATTGGCTCTGCTATATATGATTGAAAATGGACCAGGTGAAATTCCAATAGATTTCTCTAAACAATACACAGCATCCTGGATGTGTCTATCATTACTGGGTGCTTTGGCCTGCTGTGCTGGGGACACCTGGGCTTCAGAAATTGGCACTGTCATAGGTCATGAACCCCGGCTAATAACAACCTGGAAAAAAGTTCCAGTAGGTGAGCTTGAATTTCAAAATTATCTCAGCTGAATGAATGATAGTAAACAGTCTCTCAACATTCTTTCTGTGGTCTTGGTTTAATTAATGTTAAGCATTGTTTTAGCAACCATATTATATAAACAATAATTGACTAGATTCCTACATGTTGAACTGTAAACCATGGTTTATAAATCATGAGTAGAATCACGTGCAGAAAACCACAATCAAATAAACATGATTTAGCATGATGTGTAAACTCAGCCATGAGTGTAGCTTAATAGTCTTGAATTTGGCCTGAAAGACTTGTATTAGTTGAACTTTTCCCTTCTATTTCCCAGTTACCATGTAGCTGAATCATTGATGCAATAATACAATTGGCCAAAATATCTCCAAAACTAACATGTTGTCAGTCCTTCCAGGTAAACCAGATAGGAAACAGAATTAGATTACCTAATTCTACTTTATTGTAAGGCTACATTAACAGACTCTTGCAAACTTCCCACCAGCCACTTTTAACTGCCTGATCCATTAGGGCAGGCCCTTTCTCATTTTCTTTCTATGACAGTTAAGTAATTGTGGGCTCCTGCCTGTCTTGTCTGATTTTTCCTAGGCAGCATCTCTCTTCTCCTTCCTTAAGACTACTAATGCATTCCATTACAGCTGTTTGCAATTATAACATGTCTGTGATTAATATGTTAATTTGGTGAGGGAGTGTAACTGCCAGGTAGCCCTTAAATAGAAAAATGTTTCTGTATGCCTAAAACCATCCATTGGAGAACCTGGATTTGAACTGATGACCCTGTGATTTGCTTAACAACCACAGTGACCTGTTTAACCACTGTAATAAAAACAGTCATACGATCAAGTCTGGTCACACAGTGACTTAACTTATAATCACAACAACTTACAACTAAAATTCTGGGTTCAATTTTGGTCACAAGTCGAGGATTACCATAGTCTTCCTATTGTGAACTGTCTATCAGAGAAGACATTTTTATACATAGCTTTCTCATGTGCTTTCTGATTAAAATATGCCTGGCATTAATTTTATTGTGTTTACAATGCCAGGTGAAGACTTTTTATCCTTGCAACTTGCTGCAAATAAACTTTCAGTACTCTGTTGCTTTTATGTTATTATGCACTGTGTATTAATCTGTTCTTGTGATATTGTAAGTCACCTTGGAAAACGGGTTTGAGCAAAAATGTACAATTGTATATTATATATTGATACAGTACAAATTTTTCTTAGTTCAACTATAACAATATTATCACCTTGCTAAAAGCATAATGCAGTTGTTTGAGTGATGAATTTGTGTCATGTATTAACCAAGGACATTTGGAATGCTGTTTGAAGTTGACTTATGGGTGTAATTAATATTAGTATTAACAGTGCATATCTGGAAAGAGAAAAATTGAAGTTTATTCCAAGTTTTTTAATTAGGTGGATTCAGCTAGATTGCTGCATCAGTGGTAGCACATGGTATTTGCTGAGGTTATCTTAAAATGGATTAAGGATTACTGCGATTCTCCTTTTTGTTTTACTGTTTGCTGTGCTGCGAAAAGAATAAAGATGGATATTGTCAATGTAATTTTATTTAAAATAAGATATTGATTAAATATGTGTAGTATGTCAGGTCTTATGCTCTATTTCAGTGGTGGCGAACCTATGGCATGCGTGCCAGAGGCGGCACTCAGAGCCCTCTTTGTGGGCACGCGCGCCATTGCCCCAGCAGAGTTTGCCAGAGTAGCAAGCACGTGGCATTTGGAAATGACAGGGCAGGAAGTGAGCGAGCAAGCGGCGTTGGCCCCCTGGAATGCCCTGGAGATGGCGAGGGACTGGCGCCCGCCGCCCTGGCCCCAACCACGCTCACCCAGTCTGCCGTGACCACTGCAGCCATGCCCACTTAGTGGGCCACACTCCCCCGCCCCCCCTGAGGGCACCACAATGCTGATGCAGCCCTGGCACTTTGCAATAAATGAGTGGGCTTTGGGTTGCAGTTTGGGCACTTGGTCTCTAAAAGGTTCGCCATCACTGCTCTATTTAATGCAAATTTAGAATACTAATTTTGGAATATTTCATTTATTTTAGGTACTAATGGAGGTGTTACTTTAGTGGGTTTAATTTCAAGTTTGCTTGGAGGTGCATTCGTTGGCATGGCTTACTTCATTTCCCAATTGATTTTTGTGAATGATTTGGACATATCTGCTCCACAATGGCCAATTATTCTGTTTGGTGGTTCTGCTGGTTTACTAGGCTCTATCATTGATTCCTATTTAGGAGCAACAATGCAGTACAGTGGTAAGTTTTTAAATAATTTTTTAGATTAGTAGAAAAGTAATCTTATCATGTAGAACAGACATGTCAAACACAAGGCCTGTGGCCCGCATCCGACCCGATATGTGGTTCTGTTTGGCCTGCTCTGGAAACAGCAAAAGACCTGCCCGCTGCACTTCGGTCTGGCCCAGGCCCACCGGGCACTGATCTACAACCTGGTTTCATCCATCAAAGCCAGAACGCGCTCAGCCTTAGATCCACGGGGCAGCCTTGCCCCACCTCCTGGGCGCACGCACAAGTGGAGTCCAGCATCCCTGCTGGCAGTTTTGCCCCGCAGGCTGACTTCACCCAGGACGCTGGCGCTGGCCATCTCCTGTATGCATACCCAGGGGATGGGGCAGAGGCAGCAGGGCAGCTCCTTGCTGATTCCAGGGCTGCCCCGTGGAACCTTTGTTCTTCATTTCTTTTGTAGCGGAGAGGAGAGTTGGGGGGAATCAGTGCTGGCGGGGATCAGCACTCACTGGGAGGCTTTGCTGAAGCTCTGCGGATTCAGCAGAGAGGTCGGGAGCTCTGACGGCCTTTTCAAAGAATAAAAAGCCTTTTTGCCAACTTCCTACCTCGCTCTCCCTCCTCCAGAAAAGAGAAAATAAAATCTTCTTCCCACAGTCATTCTCCTTTTCCCCTTTAAAGATCCTTCCCCAGGAGCCCCGCCCCGCTGTCATCCATCGCAGAGGCCACCGGAGCTCCCGACCTCGCTGCCGAATCCGCAGAGCTCCAGCAAAGCCTCCCAGCCAGTGCTGATCCCCCCCCCAACTCCCCTCTTCGCTACACTTTCTTCCTTCCTTCTCTCCTTCTCATCTCTTCCGCGCTCAGGGAGGGGAGGGGGAGAGATTGCCAGTGCTGCCATGTTGCCGCCGGTCTTGTTATCCCACATGGGTGGGGGACCTGTCCTGGTGAAAGGAAAGCCTCGTGGCTGTGAGGCTGGAGGTGCTGGTGGGAGGTGGGGCAGCACTGATCTACAACCTGGTTGCATCCATCAAAGCCAGAATGCGCTCAGTCTTAAATCCACGGAGCAGCCCCGCCCCGGCCTGAGTGCATGTGCAAGTGGAGTCCTGCACCCCTGCTGACTGTCTTGCCCTACAGGCTGACTTCACCCAGAAGGATGGCGCTGGCCGTCTCCTGTGCGCACACCTGGGGGACAGGACCGAGGCAGCAGGGTAGCTCCTTGCTGGTTCCAGTGGATGTAAGGCTGAGTGCATTCTGGCTTTGATGGACGCAACCAGGTTGTAGATCAGCGCCATCCCCCCAACAGCACCTCCAACCTTGCAGCCATGAGGCATCCCTTTCAACGGGAGCACCCCCACCCGCCCACGTGGTATAGCAATAGCCGACGACAGTCTCTCCCCCTCCCATTGCCCCTTCCTGAGCACGGGGGAAGGAAAGAGATAAGAAAGCAAAGGAAAGAATGGATGGAGGAAGGAAGGGAGGAAGGAAGGAAGGAACAGGGAGGAAGGAACAGAGTGAGAGGAAGAAAAGAAGGAACAGAGGAAGGAAGGAACAGGGAGGAAGGAATGGAGGGTGGGAGGGAGGACGGAAGGAAGGAACAGAGGAAGGGTGGGAAGAAGGAATGGAGGGTGAGAAGAAGGAAGGAAGGAACAGAGAGGAAGGAACGGACTGTGGGAAGGAGGAAGGAAGGATCAGGGACAAAGAAAGGGAGGGAGAGGAGGGAGACAGGGAGGAAGGAACAGGAAGGAAGGGAGGGTGGGAGGGAGGAAGGAACAGAGGAAGGAAGGGAGGGTGGGTGGAGGGGTGGGAGGGAGGAAGCAAGGAATGGAGTGTGACAGGAAGGAAGGGAGAGGAAAGAAGGAACAGGGAGAAGAGCAGGGTGGAAGGAACGGAGGGTAGGAGGGAAGAAGGAAGGGAGGGTGGGAGGGAGGGAGGGAAAAAAGGAAGGAAGGAAGGTAGATAGATTATAATGAGAAGGAGGAAGGGTCTGAGGGAAGTCCTGCTTTAGCATTTGGCCATGAGCAGCCCTGCTGCCCTTTCGCCATCCCCTTGTCCCTTCCTCCTGATAGCCACCCATCCTATCACTGAGGATGCTTTGGTTACAAAGCCAGGTATCCTCACAGGAAGAG